ATTTCCATAACTTAACAATTCATCCTGTTGGCAATCTAACCATTATTGTATCTAACCATCATTGTATCTAACCATCATTGTATCTAACAACCATTGTATAGATTTACTTTTACATCATTGTATCTAACCATTATTGTATCCACCCATCATTGTATCTAACCATTATTGTATCCAACCATCATTGTATCCAACCATCATTGTATCTAACCATCATTGTATCTAACCATCATTGTATCTAACCATCATTGTATCTAACCACCATTGTATCTAACCATCATTGTATCTAACCATCATTGTATCTAACCATCATTGTATCTAACCATCATTGTATCTAACCATTATTGTATCCAACCATCATTGTATCTAACCATCATTGTATCTAACCATCATTGTATCTAACCATCATTGTATCTAACCACCATTGTATCTAACCATCTTTGTTTCTAACCATCATTGTATCTAACCATCATTGTATCTAACCATCATTGTATCTAACCATCATTGTATCTAACCATATTTTTCGTGTATACGTTTCTAACCCGAAATTTTTTCACTACATTCATTCTGAAAATCACTCACTATAACAACCACCCATCTTGCAACCCATCCATCTTACAGTTCACTCATTTTTTTTATTACTCATTATTCTCTAGCCATTTTGTATGAATTTTAACTTTCATGATTAATTCTTTGTACCCTCTAAACATGATTTTGTTGTAATGTCAACGAGACCCTATTGAAAATTGATGTTTAAATAATAAGTATATCGGTAAGTTAATTGGAATGACCGAATGGATCGATCTAGTATTTGATACACAAGTCGTCTGTCGACTCTAAAGAGTATATTTGTTTCTACGTTATTGGCACTTGTTAGTCAGGTTATGGACAGCAAAGCTGTGTTTCAAAAAAGTGACGCACCTGGAAAGTAAGAGCTTCCGACCAAAAAACTGCAACGTGTATGTATATTGCAAAAAATTGTATAAATCTAAATAAGAAATGCAGATGAAGAAATGAAGTGAATGTATGGGTCAAGACTGGTTGCTGGTGAGTTGGTTGGTCGGCTGGTTGGATGGTGGTTGCCTGCTGGTTGGTTGGTTAGTTGGTTGGGTGGTTGGTTGGTTAATTGATTGGTTAGTTGATTGGTAAGTTGGTTAGTTGGCAATCATTATTTATTTATTCGCTGTAATTTGATGATAATATATGATAATACTTCAGATGATAATAGATGATAATACTGGATTAACCATTGGTTGGTTGGTTGGTATGTTGGTTGGTTAGCTGGTTGGTTAGTTGGTTGGTTAGTTGGGTATTCATTCAAATGATGGACTGAGTGGTCAGTTCGTCTGAATGGTCGGTCAAGTTGTTCTACGTGATGTTCATACGTCGTGACCCTCGCTATAAATAACTTAATGAATGAATGATTCATTAAATCAGTTAAGACTGAACGAACATATAAATAAATAAATTAATTAATTAATTTATGATTTAATAATTCAGTGAATGAATGAATAAATGATTGAATAAACAAACTAACGAACGAACAAACAAACGAACGAACGAATGAATGAATAAGTGAATGAATGAATGAACGAACAAAAGAAAGACTTAATGAAATAACTAATGAATCAGTGAATGAGTATTAACAATTTAACTGGGATATCAGTAAACAAATTATGGAAACTGTTTAATAATTATCTTAAAAATTTAAGTTGAAGAAAAGAGCCAAATAATTTGAAAACGGTAGAATGACGAACAATGAAAAAATAAAATGGATGATATCATGGCTGAGTAACTGAATCGCGAAGATAAAGACGAATGAATGAACAAATAAATGATTGATATGAAAAGTTAACAAACGAATGAAGGAGTAATGGCAGGAATGAGCGAGTGGATGAATGAATGAATGATTGAATGAATGAATGATTGATTGACTTACTGAAAGAGAAAATGAGTTAATGAATGAATGAATAAATAAATAAGTAAGCTGATTAATGATGGCGTTTGTGAGCATGGAGATAATGAAGCAGATAAAAAAAAGCAAAGGAAGGTTGGGTGAATTTTTGAGTGAAAAATTAAAAAAAATATATTGGATCAAATGATAAAAATTGAATGAATGAAAAAAGAAAGAACAAATGAATGAATGAACGAATGAATTAATTAATTAATTTATAAATAAATGAATGAATAAATTCATGAATGAATGAATAAATGAATGAACGAATGAAAAAAGGATAAAAATGATAGAGCGAAGGATCAGTTGAATTGAAGAGAGCAAAAAATTTTGTGTTTATGGCTTTCATTATTTATGCGTTCTGCGGTGAATTTTAACGGAAGTGAGATTTCCTTTAAAAGGAAATGGAATAAAAATTAAAAAAAATGTTTTGCATAATAATGATGGATGGTGCAGATAAAATTGTATTTGGGAACGTTTGGTTGGCTCATAAAGTACTGCCACGTTGTTTTAAAGATGGAAGGTCAAAAAAAATTTAAAATTTTAAAGTGTAGAAGATTAACTAAGTTTGAAATACTCATAAGGTCAATTAAATAAAGATTAATTTAAAAAAAAATAAAAAGCTGATTAAATTAAAAAACATGGGCGGTTAAGTGAATTGAATGAAGATTAATTATTATTGAAACTTACATACAAATTCAGTTTGTGGTTGGATTGAATCTAGCAAATAAACACTAAGGCAATGAATACATTAACAAACTTTGTGAGTTGTTCATAAAACTGTTAGATGATTGATTAAAAAATTATAATGAAAAATAAAAAAAAATTTTTATTTACCAAACAACATTTCATAACCTCTGATGAGATTGTTGTTGAATTATATTAGAAGTCTTTGGCAATCATTATTTATTTATTCGCTGTAATTTGATGATATTATATGATAATACTTCAGATGATAATAGATGATGATACTTCAGATGATAATAGATGATGATACTTCAGATGATAATAGATGATAATGCTTCAGATGATAATAGATGATGATACTTCAGATGATAATAGATGATAATACTTCAAATGATAATTGATGATGATCAGTGCAATGATGATATCGTTGATTTAATATAATATAATATTTGTTATAAAGTGACTGATGATATTGAATGGGCTGTTGGAATGTAATTCAATCAATCATACGATCGATCTCTTATCATAGAACCTGGGTGACGCGCCAATGCTTAATCAATTTACGCTTTCCCTCGTTTTTCCAACTTTCATTCATTCATTCATTCATTTGTTCGTTCGTTCGTTCATTCATTCATTCATTCATTCATTCATTCATCTATTTATTTATTTATTCACTCTTTTACTCTTCACTCTTTATTCTGTGCACTCGTCCGTGCGTTCATTCAGTTCAGTTCATTATTTGCTTATTGAATTAGTCGTTCAAGTTTGATTGTCCATCTATCATTGCCTTCAACCTTTTTTACTACTTTATTTGATTACATCCGTCCATCGTTCTTTTTCTTATCGTATTATTCAAGTTTTCATCTTTCAAATTTTTAAACTTTTATTCACTATTCCTTTAAATTTTCATAACTTTTGTGAACTTAATTCGGTTTGCCACTTCACAAACTCCAGTTGATATGGACCAGTAAGTTAGAGGCGCAACATTGGAGCAACATACACTCGCAGCGGCAAAACTTAGCATGCTCCGTGATGAAAGCTCGCTCCATGTAATTATTAAAAGTTATAATACTCGCTGTCGTAACCGATTTACGATGCGACGGGTTCAAATCTTCGATTGAATAAAATACTCAAACAGTTATTAGTTATTAAAAATTATTTACAGAAGAAATCAACTAATCGTTTATTTGTAGCAAATTCAAATTAACGCAACAATTAACTTTTAAATTGTTTAAAATCTATCGCTATGACAACGTCAACAAACAAATCAAATATCGCTTTAAATAATTCACCGAATCGCTATATACAAAATCACAGTCACGAATTTGCAAAATCACGGATTTCACTAATCACGAATTTCACTAATCGCTAATCTTCTTGCGACGTGCGCCTATATACTCTTCGCAAGCGTCGTTTCTAGATTCTTCTAGGTGGTCCGATTCTAGCATATTCTAGAATGTTCTAGTGCGTTCGGTAGCCCGGTTATAACATTATTATTCTTTAAGAAATCGGACTCTGACAGCCGCAGAAAATTTAATTATTTTACAGTTACTACGTTTTATCGATAAAAAATTTATTTTTAAATAAATAACGAAATGAAAAGTGAAACAATTCATGCCAGCCAAAATGGATGTACATGAATGAATGAAATAAAATGCTATCATTTTGAAATAAAATACAATCATTTTGAAATGAAATACAATTATTTTGAAATAAAATACAAACATTTTGAAATAAAATACAATCATTTTGAAATAAAATACAAACATTTTGAAATAAAATACAAACATTTTGAAAAAAAATACAAACATTTTGAAATAAAATACAAACATTTTGAAATAAAATACAAACATTTTATTTTATAAATCCACGTACATCGATACAAACATCTTTGATAAATTTATAAAAATTGTTCCCACTGTTTTGAAGAGAGTGAATAATGATGAATTAACTACAATACATGCGGCTAATAACGCTTGCATTCATTAATAATTTAATTACATTGCAAGATTACAACACGCATACTTTTATTGTCATGACGCACAGATGCCAGCACTAGGGTGTCCCGTCGATGTATGAAAAAAAAATTTTTTTTAAGACACATTATAACAAGAGGTATCAAAAGTTGCGAAATTTTATGCAGATTTCAAAAATAATAAAACAATAAAAATTATATGTCTTCTTGAGGGTTCTACCACGCTTTAAAGTTTTGAAAATTTAATGTTTTCAATTACTTGAATCGTTTGCATAAAAAAACAAAAAAACTCGCATTTATAATAGATTTTTTAATACTATTTATAAAACAAAACACATTTAAACAAGATTAAACAACAGACGGTTTATATTCAAGTATAAAATATATTTAAAATTTGAATTTATTTTTATGTCCGAAAATTGGAAATTCAGCTCGACTTTGTAACGTGGTTCTTACGAAACCATCTCTCGAATTAACATTAGTCACACTCTGTGATACTTCTGTTACCAGTTTAACACATCTCTTTACTGATTGTGTGTGGCAAGGAAAATCAACAATTTTAAGGCTTCCATCTTTTGCCATCTTTTTGAGTTCGTCATTAGTAACATCCCGAAGCACAGGTGGTAGTGTAACTTGACACTCCTGCCACGAAATAATTTCAGTATAATCTTTAGCAGAGAAGTTAAGCTTCGGTGTTTTAAATATTCTCTGTTTGAAACCATTGTCAGTATTTCTAGCTTTTATTATTCTTCGACATGCTAGTTCCCGAATATAGTCTCTGTCGTCAAATAACATACTAACAAGAAGGTTTACTGGATGTGCATAAAAAGCATTTCTCTCAATTACAGAATCTACGATTGTTCTTAGATTTGTTGGTAAATATCGAGAGATTAAAATTAAATTAAAAATATGCTTAGCTCCATCTTTAAAAGATGTTTTTTGTTTAATTGAAAACCAAATAGGAGCATATACTTTAACTACATATTTGACAAGTATTTGCAAACTTTCTGATGGATCAGGAGTACTTACATATAGTCTAAATAAACGGTTGGCACAAGTAAGCCATCTTGAATGAGATAGATTTCCAGGTTGACGGTTTGCGAGCTCAGAACTACAGGAACCAGTTAATACTGTTTGACATATTTTATAGAGATATTTTTGATCTGTACTCAGTTCATTAACTACATTTTTCGTTAAATCAGGCAAATGACCGGTCAGTGGTTGAAAAAGCAACGTAGTTTTATTTTTGTAAGTAGCTAATTGTTTTCCAATAGGTCCTGAATATTCTCTAGGACCTGAAGTGCAGCCATCTAAAGCCAAGAATAAATGACAAAAAGGTAGCTCGTTAGCATGAAGCATACAAACACACCATTGTAAAGCTCTATCCAAATACTCTTCAAGGTATTTAATTACACCACCTTTCGATATCTTGTGCCAGCTGCTGAATGGATTCACCAGACATGGCGATGTGTGTCCCAAAAAAATAGAATTAGGTTCTGATAAAATTGAAATATGTTCTTCTAAAACCACTTTGCGATGGTAACGGACTCCTATTTTTTTATTCACCAACGTTTTGTCTTTTCGACCATCAAAATAAATGCTGTTTAGTGAAACTTCGCAAATATTTTGAAATATATTTTTTTTGGCCTTTGATACAGCTCTGTGTACTTTATTTTTGTATATTACTAGAGTTGAGTCTTCATTGGAAACCAGACCTACGTCAACTAAAACGGCAGAAGCAACAGCAGCAGCAGATCGTGTAGACAATCGATATCTATCACAAACTTTTGCCAATGTTGGTAACTGCAGTAAATTTCGATTAGCAAATGATGTTGTTGGTGTAATTGTAAATGACAGGTTTGTCAGAAGTGTTTCTGTTGCCAGGTTGGTTTTGGAAAAATTGATATGCGTCTCGTCTTCATCCAAAGCTGTTGAAACAATATTAGAACCTTGTGTTGAGCAAAACTTTTTGACTCCTTTAATTGAACGTTCAAATTGTCTTGCCTGTCGTTTCCTCAATCTGACCGTTTCTTGTTCATCGATGCCACCTATAGCCATTTTTCTCTCATTTCTTTGATCGATCAAAAATTGTCTTTCATTAACAGGAACTTTTTTATTTTTCAAACATACACATGCTTCAAATAAGACACATTTACATGAAGCCACATCAAAAAGCCTCTTTGATAAATAAATCTGAAAAACATTTCAGTTTTTTCTCAAAACTATGATGTCTTTTGCTCTTGGGATATCTTTTCAAAGTGAGATATTATTCAAAATAAGATTTTAACCCATATTAAACCATGACAGAATTTTATAAAATTGTGTACTTATTTTGTTTTGTTTTTACATTCAAACATCATACGGTTAAGTATGGCTCAAATGAAATGACTTGAAACAGCCTGGATGTAACCCAACATTACATTTTTCGCATGCAAATATGGATGTCCCTTTGCATCCAGCAGCAGCAAATCGTCGTTGAGAACTTTGGATAATCCAGTGTGCAAACCCGTCTGTTCGTATATCAGACAAGACGCGGCGATCAAGTGAGAGTCGTGGAGCAAGACATAATAATTTTTGAGTTTTTCTTTGAGACATGCCTCGCATATACACTTGTACAATTTTACGTCGAAATGAGAGCAAATCATGAACAGAAGTTCCAGTATCTATTTTTTGTAGACAATACAACTGAAAGGCATTTTGAACTGCCAAATCTAAACAGAACCTAAAGATTGGCCAGTACCACTTTTTTGATCTATGCTGTATCATATAGCAAGCTACATTTTGGTCAAAACGATCTACTCCACCCATTCCATGATTGTATATCTGAATAACTTTGGGCTTGTCAACTTCAATTCTTTTTTTCTGTTGACTTGAAAATCGCTTTGCTTTCTGTAGCGGATCAACTCCAGCATAAGTTGAAGCAATAGTAACAACCTTACTATCGTTCCATCGAACTAGACATACTTCAGACTTTTCTTCCAAGACAACATCATAGGTGCCACGAGGTTTTTTTTCATTATGTCGATGCTTTTGAGAGGAGCACCTTCAACACTGTTTTGACGTAGAGTGTCTGTAGCAGCCATTCCATTTTTTGCAAGTAAACGTAACAATTTAGGGCTTGTGAAAAGGTTGTCAAAAACAATGAGATAAAAACTGCCTTTAAGTTTTGGCAAATTGCTGGTCAAACTTGTAACAACTGAACCACCAAGTCCAAGACTTTTGTCTGTTGTTCCTGCTCCCTGATATGAATCAAATTTAATAACGTATCTAAGTCGTATCTAACCCACATTTTGTAACCAAATTTTATTGGCTTGCCATGGATATATTGTTTAGCCCCATTACGGCCAAAATAGGGGACCATACTTTCGTCTATGCTAAGTACTTGCTCTAATTAAAAATTTCTCTGACATGAAGCATCTATTTGGTCTAGTAATGAACGCATTTTTCCAAATTTGTCTCCTGGGTTTAAGTCGTTATTGTTAGCAAAGTGAATATTGCTCATTATGGCACTGAATCTATTTCGTGACATGGCACTAGACACCATTTAATTGTGAGTATCATGTGCTGTTTCCCAATACATTGAACGCCGGGGAAGAGAAACATACCCACTGAGCAGCAGGATCGAAAAAAATAGTATCACTATTTACATTTGTAGGTGGAACAATTGTGACATCTATGTCAAGCAAATTTTCATCGTTGTTGTCTTCTAGCATCTGAATCACTTCATGAACGTTATAACTTTAAAAAAATTATTATTACTACCACTTTCGCAAAACAAAAAATGTTGAATTTTACTAAATTTTAAAAATAGAAAACAATATTGACCCATAAAAACTCAACTTAATTAGTTACTTATGATATAATAAATGACCTACGCGTCTGTGCCTGGCGTCAGTTTAAACTGACACATCAAAAACAGCTATACCGTTAAGATAGCTTATTCTATTAGAAAATAGCAACAACCATAAGTTTAAGGAGATATTAATGAAGATTTTTCTAATATATTATGTATTTAAAAAAATAGTGTGACTCACGTTTTCTTTCTTGTAAAATCTATCTCGAAAATTTTAAAAATGTCCGACAATCAACCCATAAACAAAGATTATAAAATGATTTAAAAAATTAATATTGGTTTTTAAACACCGGCCACATCTGTAGAATAAAATTAAAACAAAATAAAAACTATTTCAATTTTATTGATTCCAAAATCGTTATCTTTATGCGTGTCAGTTTAAACTGACGCTAGCCAAATATGGGTTAAGAGTTGTAAAACTCGATCATTAGATACGTTTGGAATGGAAGCTTTTATCCAGATATTTTGAATTTTTTTAGATACAACTGAATAAATGTTTAAATTGGATGGATGATGGATCCTTGCCATTACATTTTAGTTTCAGGTCATTCCTAACAAATAAAATAAATTTAATGACATCTCCTATGGTTGGTAGCTGCCGTTCGTTAAGTTCATCATATGGACATAATATATCACATATGGTATCGCTACGCATTGAACTCATTTTCTGAAAGATGAAAATAAAACATTTCTAATTTTAAAATTTTATAGCAAAATAATAAGATTAGTTTAATAGAATTCGCTTACAATTAAAATCACGTCTTCAGAAACTGAAATTTTAGTGAATTTGCTAACTCAAACTAGAAAAATTTAAAACAACCAGGAAAACGCTAATGCATACAAATTAAAACAATGTGAAGTTATCACATGTAAACAAAACAAAGAACATATATAACATTTTAATTATGATTCGGATTCGACGTTAAGCGGCACAAAATATTAACACAAAAAATGCCATTTTCAAAACTTTAAAATTTGGTAGAACCCTGAAGATGCAATTTAATTTAATTTGTATGATTATTTTCGTAATTTATGATCTAATTGGCAACTTTCAAGAGGTCTTGTATTGCGAAATTATGAAAAAAAAATTTTTCGGGACACCCTAGCCAGCACTCCTAAAATCATTCAATCTTTGATATACGTATTGAGATATTTCAAGATACATATGAAAATAAAACTTAAAAAAACTATTTCAAAACACAAAGATTCCTAAACACAGCAAAATAACACACACATTAATAAATAACACACACATTAATAAATAACACACACACGCACATATACACACACACGCACGCACACATACACACATTCCAGTCACCAGTACATACACCTTATAATGTAAAGACATGCATACATTTTATGTTTATCAGATCATTCCATATTTGACAAGTAATTTTCAACTGTTCAAATGTTTTTATGGTTTTATTCGTTTTCATTCTTGTGCGGAATAATAAATCATCACATATCAAAAAATAAATTTACTTTCGTTCATCGAACGGTCCAGGCACGACTGCAGCATGTGCTCTCTTACGTTACACGTTGCCCCACGATGTTGAAGTCCCAAGAATGAAAAAATTGTGGAATCTGTGATCGCTATTTTTACTTTTAAACAATAATTTAATTTTTGTTTTTTATTTTTATTTATTTGTTTTTTTTTTGGTTTGTTGATCTTATTTTTTTTATTGTAATATTTTATTTCTCTACTATTTGTTTGTTTATTTGTTTGTTGGTGTGTTTGTTTGTTTGTCTGGTTGCGCCCCCGAAAGGGTTGTTTTTAGCCGGAGGTGGTGTTGGGGATGAACTTCCAGAATCTATAAAATGTTTCCAAATGGCTTGCAATCTGACGTTGCAAATCAACCAAGTCCTTTCCCCGGCTGGTGGCGAGGGTGAGTTATGCTAACAGGAGGGGGCGAAAAGCAAATAAACAGAGCCTCAGAACCGGTGTTCTGTTGATTCCGGGGTGAGAATGTTCGTCAGATTCGTAAGCAATCCATCTAGGATGAGCTAGCTGAAACTCTGATTTCAAACCATAAAATTCTCAATTTTGCTAGATGGACGGTTACATTACACTACAGTTCCATCGAACTGATATGGTTGGTCATCGCATCTTAACCCTTTGTGCCTGCTGAGGTCAACCTTGTGGAGGAAAGTGTCGCATGCATCACGAACACGTTCCACCTCGAACAATCCATTGTGGAGGCTGTCGTTGGAACTGTGTACGGAATGGAGATCGTACTCACAGGCGGAGGCTTCCGCCTTTGCACAGGCACGAATCGTAGCTCTGGTTGACAAAAGGGCGGAAACAGTTAGGCTCCGGATGGAAGCGGCACAGGGGTGTGGGTCTGTGTAATCTGTGATCGTCGATATTTGTCACATCAATGACCCAGTTCTTCTTTAACGTAGATGTAATCCATATTCTTTGGTTGTTGGTTTGTTTGTTGTTTGTTGGCTGGTTTGTTTATTTATTTGTTTGTTTGTTTGTTTGTATGGTTATTGGTAGGTTGGTTAGTTGGTTGGTTTGTTTATTTTTTTGATTGTTTGGTTGTTGGTTGGTTGGTTTGTTGTTTGTTTGCTGGTTTGCTGGTGTGTTAGTTTGTTAGTTTGTTGGTTAGTTTCTTTGCTGGTTGGTTTGTTTGTTGTTTGTTTGTTGATTGGTTGGTTGATTGGTTGGTTTGTTGTTCGTTGGTTGGTTGATTGGTTTGTTTGTCTGTTTATTTGTTTCAATTTGTCGTTGATGGTAGCTTCTCGGCGTGCTTGCATCAATTTCAATCATGCTCCATCTCTTTTCATTCATTCGTCCATTATTCTGTCTGACATTATACTCATTCAGATTTCCACCTTTCAGCCACTCGAACATTTTTTGTTTATTTTGTTTTTTGTTCATTTACTTTTCAGTCATTTACTAGGCAATTTATTTGTTTTCCAATTTATTTTCCTTTGGTCACCCTGCCCCGTGCATTAGCTGGCTGTCTGCCTGCGACATCCTCTGTGGGAGCATTTTGATAGCGCAAATGAAATTTCTTCAAAGATCTCCTAAACTTTAATGCCTAATATAAAAAGCAACATAAAATGTAAATAAACTTTAAAGAAGAAATTTAAATGCTTCTTGGATGAATTTAAAGATGGATGAATTTCAACTTAAAATCATTGAAAGTCGGTGAATGGATGATGAGAATATTGAAAGTTGAAAATAAATTTGAATTAGTCATTTTTTATTGATTCAATTGTTTTTTTATTAAAAAAGTCACCTTTAGAAACCCTCTTTGTGCAAGAAACCTTTTCAAATTTGATTCTTACCCAACAAGAACAGATTATTTTCAAATGAAAATCTCTTTTTCTCTGGCAATCTCAACTCCGTTATTTTATATTTTAGTTCTTGTTAAACTTTAAATAGATATAATATTATCATGAGTTTTCATTTGACAATTTGCATTGAATTTCAAAATAAATTTTTAAATTTTTTGCAGGTGATTAAAGAAAACTCCACTCTAACTGATTTGTTAACTCATCAGAGTCAAATAATTAAATCTACAAGCGACTGAAGAATAATCTAAATAATCAACATCACCAACAAACACACATAATCAACAGGAACATCAGCATTGATATCACGCCATCAACATCATCTTTAAAATCACATCATCATCAACATCAGCAATAGAATTTCAGTGAGTTAGATAGGCAGAAATCACAAACATTAACGATAAAATTATCCATTATCAACTCATCCTCATCGTCGTCTTTAGAAACAGCAGGCTGGTAATTTTTTCTCATCGTTTTCAACATCGCATTTCACGTGACGAACTTCATTGCATTCTGTTTAACTGTACATTTCGGTGATTAACTCTATCGTCATATTGTCATTATCATCATTATGACAAGTCTGATATTTGCGTCGTCAACACGGACGTCATCATCACAATAAATGTCTTCATCATCATCATCAGCATCATCATCAGCATCATCATCATCATCGTCATCATCATCATCGTTATCATCAGCATCATCATCTTCCTTATTGTCATTAGTATCATCATTAGTAACCTCATCAACAAATCTCGTGATGATCTTTTTCTTTCTTCTGATTATTTATCACCCAACAACGTCTTTGAAGCCCATTAATTACTTCCAACGCGAACACACATCACTCTTTTTTCACCATAATCCTATTTCATCATTTTCATCACCATTTTATCACCCTCATTAACATCATTGTCATTTTTTCAACATACTTTCATCATAATCACTTTATCATTTTTGTCATCAACAACCACATCATTTTCACTTCGTTGTCATCGTCATCGCTTCCTCATCAACATCTTCATCATCACTCCATGGTCTTCATTTACAACATCAACCCCATCATCTCATCATCATCTTACACCAGTATAATCACTTCATCATCATTTTATCTCCATCATTTCATCTTATCCGCAACCTCACCATCACAGTTTTTATCAAATTATCATCACACTTTTTCATGAAAACTCATGATAAATTATCATTACTTTGTCATCTTCATCCCTTCATCATTGCCGTCTGTCTTCATCATCATCCTCATCATCATTTTGTCATTTTCGTCTTTTTTTTTATTTGTTATCCTCTTGTCCTCAATCATTTTCAAACTGGTGATAATTGGGTTTATGAAAAAAATTTTTGCAGATGTGAAATTTTTCATTGGACTCCTTGAAGTATTTGAAAATAAATAATTATTCAAAAATAAAAAATAGATGAATGAATGAATGGATGTATGGATGGATGGAAGAATGGATGGATGGATGGATGGATAGATGAATGATGAATGAATGAAAGAACGAATGAATGAATGAATGAATGAATAAAAAATTAAATGAGTATTGCGTAAATAAAGACATGGATATTGTACTATTAAAAGCAATTATTATTAATATTACTATTTCGAATATAAAAAACAATATATAAAAATAAATTTTATTTTTTTTTCAAAAAAACAAACAAAACTTTTAATCGAAATTGAATTATTTCGAACGGTGTTTCATTGTAAGAACACAGCATGGTGGCATCATCATCATCATCATCATCATCATCATCATTGTTATCATCATCATCATCATTATCTTCATCATCATCCTCACCAGCATGTCATTCCTATTTTAACATATGTTGATTATTTTTCAATAGACAAAAACTGTGGAGCAGACAGACATCCGTACAACTGAGCCAACGAGCAAACATATCCAGCACTCAACATGCATTTCATTCATCGCCGCATCTTCATCCTCACCACCACCACCACGTTACTGGTAATGTTTCCACCACCATCATCACCAACTTCATCTTTAATCGCATCAACATCGTCGTCGTCGTCGTCTTCCTTCTTAGAACCAGCATCATCACAACCAGGACCCGATGGAAGTTTTAACACGGCTAGTGATGTTTTTATTATTTTTTGCAATTTTTTTTTCTTGAAACAAAGAAAACTTGGTTGGAATTTATGAGATCCGAGTGGAGTGAATGTGGGATATAAAAAATTATTAACTTGAAACGAGGAGAAATGCTGTTTTGTTCTGTTTCAGGGAAACTTCAATAAAAGTTCTTCGTGTGTTGGTCATTATTTTTCCTGCATATTTAGAAAAAAAATAAATTTTTGTTTGATGTGACCTGTTCGTGTTTGCAGTTTTTATTTCCAGTTACGTACCTGCTGCTGCATTCGTGTGATATCCGATTCTAACTAACGTCTTAGGTTCACTTTGTTCATTCTTGTTGTTTCTGTTCAATTGTTGGGAACAGCTAAACTATTATGTTGTTCGTTTTTCTGTGTTGCTATGCCTGTTTGTGTTTCAAATTAATGAGTGTTCTTTGGATAATTTTAATCGTTGTTTGATGACGAAAATTAAAAGCTCTGTTGTTTACACATACAAAATAAACAACATTTTGAATGAAGATGATGTCATTATGCAATCCAGATAAACGAACACATTTGACTGAACGTCACCAGTTTAAGTTTTGCTTTACCATTTATTTAAAATTTTCATCAAATTGAAAAGTTAAAACTGCAATGAAGCATGTAACTGAAGACAATGCGGATTATTGCCATGATTAAGGTGGGAATTAAGCCGAGGATTAACGAGAAAAGCTTCGCGCTTCTCTAAACGTTTCCACAGTAAATTTACTTCCAGTTTAAATCTAGACGCAATGTACGCACATGCAGGTGTGCGTGCATGTGCGTGCAAGCCATTCCACTCATTGTAGAAGTCTTTCTGATTTTGTGGCTGCTTTCTTATTTGCACGTTATTGCTGCGAGTCGTTACCGTTTAATTTCATTCTTGCGGGTGGTCGCCGCGTATTCTCTTTTGCACTGCTTCCAATGTATTTTATTTCATTTTCTATCTTAAATTTGGGATCGGCTATTATCTATGTGTTTTCAATTTAAATATTTTCTTTGTATAAATAGTTCACGGTTTTGGTTGTCAGTCGTTATGTTACTTGGTAGGATTGCTACATTATTGCATGCGCAGTAAATGTTGCTAATGTGTGGATCTGCGTGAAGAGGTCAATTTTGTTGCGTTAGTATGCTTGTAAGTGAGTTTGATGATTTGTTGAGGAGGATCAACAATTAACATATTCAGAAAAATGTTCTACGCATGTTTCATTTATGATGAGGAAAGAGAGTGCAAATGAAGCCACATGACACAGTAAAAAACGTGCACGCATTCCACCACCACGTATTTCACCACCACCACGTACACCTCTCAATGTTCACTCAAGCATCAGTATTGCGTACCACCACGATTTTAAAAGCTGCGCTAAAGTAAATTGAATTGAAAGTGTTACTTCAAAAAAATTAGCGTGTTTATGCAATCAATTGCAGACATGATACATAACTCCATATAAAGAATGATATTTGTGTATAATTGTTAATGAGGGTATTTATATCAGTTATTTGTATGATATCTCGTTCCACGTAAACTATTTGAAACTTTGCTTGCAAAATATTTATGTTAGAATGGAATCTGTGCATAGCGTTTGGATTGCTTGAAATAAGCATTTTGCTTTTGCAGGCACTGAACTAACCTGTATTGATAGTGGGAGCTTTTTGCGTTTAGACCTGATCCAAGCAACAAAAAAGATGGGTACTTTACGTATATGTGAAGTACTTCTAAATATTTGTTAAAATGTTTATATATTTTTTACCCATACGCACATATTACAAAGACATCCCATGCACACAAATAATCAAAATGTTTAAAATAATATTATTGCGTTCCAGCTTATTAAAGAATATTTTGAAATTTATCAACGACCTTGCAAACCACTAATTAAAAAAATTCATTTAAAAAATTCCTCCTACCTGGACATTTTCGTGTTTCATCTTCATCAATTTTCAAATGCTAATAAGATTCAAATAAAAAAAAATCTCTCACTGCAATGTAAATAAATCAACAAAAAAGCACAGAGCAAGCGCTGCATATTTTTGCGTTTGTTTCTGCATCTGTGCCAGCATCAAATTGATGGACGCCTTGCTACAGTTCAAAACTCGCGCCCATTCGTCAAAAAACACGTGTTGATTGCTTATCAACAAGCTCACACTTCTTCCTGATTGAATTTCTTCTCACATAAAGTTGCCTGCCTGTCATCATTTTTCTTTTTTTTAATTATCTGAAATATTGACAGCATCGGCAACATGAAGAACAGCATAAACACTAAACAACATGAAAACAAATCAACACGAACACAAAACAACATGAACACAAATCAGCATGAACACAAATCAGCCTGAAAACAAAACAACATGAACACAAAAACAACAAAAAGAACGTCGTCATCAACAAAATATTTTTAATTAGCGCCAATTTTTTAGTGCTCTTATTATTCTCACTGCAGCATCCAAGACAGCAACATATACACAATTACCCTCCATGTGTATATTTTATAACACTACTCTGATCAGCACAACACGTGATCACTTCATGTTTGTTTGGTTCACTCTTTTTCCGAGTTAACCACACGAAATGCTGCAACACCAGCATTAATTAACGCATAATTGTTACCACGACTGCAACTGACTCTCGCACACATAAGACCAGTTTTAGCAAACATATATAAACACAGTTATTAATAATTTAGGTCAAGAATTATAGGTTCAACATTCGTTATTTCCTGCCAAATTTCTAATTTTATTTTGTTGTTTGAAGAGTTGTTCAAAATTTCAATCTCTTTTCTAAGATTTTTTGCTGATAACATCGATTTTCAGATAATTACGAGTTTAAAATTTATTTTAGTGAAAATGTAAATATTTTTATTTTATTATTTACATAAAAATTTTCAGATTAATTTTCAGATAATTATGAATTTAAAATATATTTTAGTTAGTATCAAAATATTTCTATTTCATTATTAATGTAAACATAAATGATCTCAGAGCAAGCATTTTTATAACCATCATTATAATGTAATTACCACTAACGGTTTCTTCTTGTTGTCAATGTTTTCGCAATTTTCTCCATTATCTTCATCGCGAGTCTAATAAATTCACTGGAGTTGCAGCAGCAGTAGCAGCAGTAGCGACAGGCAGGCGATTACCACACAGTGGGCCTAGGAGAGGTCGTAAATTAAAATGCTCAAAAAGTGCTCGCGCAGTAGCGCATGACTGAATTGTTTCAATTTGTTTCTTTCCAGAACTCCAGAAGCAAGAAGAACAATGAAGTTAATAACAACAACAACTATTACAAGACGTATAATAATAATAAAACCGTAAAGAAATCAAATAAAAATAGCAAGAATAATAATAAAAATAACAAAAGACAAGACAACAAAACCGTTAATAAAAATAATAGTAATAATAACAATGACATCAAAAACAACAATAAAAAGAACAAGAACCTGGCACACAACAACGTCTACATAAACAAAAATGATCTAAACAACAACCCACATGCCAATAATGACTTCAATATAATCGACATAAACAACATGTTGGGCGACCACCCGATCGACAACCACCACAACAACTACGACAACCACCACAACAACTACAACAGCCACTACAACAATATGTACGGTGACCACTCAATTGCGCACAACAACAAAAACAACAGAAACAACAACAACCCCATGTGCAAAGACCAATGCAAGTGCATCAACCAACGCAACAAGAACAAAGATTTGCAGAACGACCCTGCCTACAACAACAACAACAGACATAACAACAAACACAACAACAAACAAAACATCCCATCCACTGAGTACACACTCGAAACTTACACCCCTTCATGTGAGAGTGGCGTGAATGCGGTGCTAGACGGTTGCGGTTGCTGCCTGGTGTGTCCGAGGCAACATGGGGATCAATGCGACCCCATCCATCCATGTGACGCCGCCAAGAAGCTCATTTGCGTCTCGGATAATCAGCATGTCAGCAATTACAATGGCATCAGCGGGAGTGGCAGCGGTGGTGATGTTGGAGGCGTTTCGGCAGCTAAAATGTTGGGTGTTTGTAGAGGTTTGTTGTTGTTGCTGATACTGTGCTTTTATTGTTGATGAAAACTGTGTTGATATTCTATTAAATCTGTAAACTGTGTTGATATTTTATTAAATTTTAATTTCGTTAATATCATATAATAATCTTGACAAGGCATTTCAATTGATTTAAATTGAATTGTTAGTTTTTCAAGCGTTCAACGATCAAAGAGTGTGAACGACGCTTATCATCTCAATGTGCATTGCGCTTGTGGCAAATAACGAACCTTCAAAAAACGGTGGATGGACATTTCAATGTTTCATATTATAGAACAGCAGTAGTATTTAAAAATTACTAAACACACCTGCCACACAGTATGGTAAACTTGAGAACTACTGAATGTCGGTTGTATGTTCTAAACTGGATGTCGGGGCATGAAGTAACAAGTAGCTAAGCGGGGTCTCCTTCATTATTTTCAGAATCCGCTTTTTCGTCATACCTTTTTAAAATTATTGGCTTTTAAAAAATGCACTTTTTTGTCTAATTCACATTGCACTCCCGCAACTTAGGATGTTGAAAATGCAAAAAATACGTTTTGACGAAAGAAGTGCAAATGCTGATGGCCCGTCGAGATGAGATATTTTTAATTTTTATAGTAAAATTCTTTTTTCATAGCAAACGTTGTTTTTGAATAAATTTAATTGAAGTTACAGACTTCAATAACGAATAGTGAATTTCAACCATTTTTAATTTCATAGTTTTTAAACAAATAACAAATGTAGTGTGTGCATAGAATGTAATGAAAAGGCATGAGAAGTTGAGACAGGTAGGTTTTTTTAGAAATAGCTAGGTTCTTAGAAGTGGGCCCTGGGCAGGTTCTTCAACTGCAGTATCACTGATGACGGGGCCGAACGGGAACCTGCCTATTTGGATCCACGTATGTAGACATTTCAGTGAATAGAATTATAACGGATTTTATTGTTGATTGTTTTATTGAATTTAAAAGATTTCCCAAAATAAACTTCACCAAATTGAAATGCTCTATCTGCTCCGTTACTGTTGATAAAATTATCAACTGGATGTGATGTCCTTGATGTAATGTAATGTGATGAATGAAATGTTTTTGATGTGATGTTTCAACTTATGTAAACGTCTTCCCGACGTGATCATGTTGATGTGGATTTTGTGCCTTCGTTAAAATTGCTGAAACGTTTCATGATGGATTGCATTATGTTGCCAGTACATTTTAAAAGTAGGTATCGATTACACAGACATTTAAAATTTGGGTATTTATGGTGGTGATAACGATGATGAAAATGATGACGAAGCAGACAAAACAAGAATGGTGGTGGTGATCGTAGTGATGTTTATGTTGCGCAAATTACAACATCAATCACGTTAAATAAAAATTAATATTTTTTTTACGACGCATGATCACATCAAAAATTTAAAGTTAAATTTGAGATACATTCTCTAGACTGTTACTGTCACTTTCTGTCACTTTATTCTTTAGGATGATGTTTCTGTAATATATGAGATGATAAGATGGTGACTGTAAGACAATTATAATAACAACAAAAACAACAATAACAATAATAACAACGACAACAGTAATAATAATAACAATAATATTAACAATAATTATTATTATTATATTAATGCGATGATGATGGGGATGATGATACTAGACGAACGATGATGATTATAATCAAGATATTATTAAGCAGCACACGTTCAGAACGGTTAACAACATCATAGGAATGATGTCGTTAACATGTTATTTATGCTGATGACAACGTTGATTCTTGTTGTTAACAATAATGTTTATGTTATTAACAATAATGATGTTTATACTGCTAACAATATTTGTGGTGCTGTTTAACTGCTTGTTTCCAGCCAACCAGATGAGTTTTTTCTATTCCATATTCTTCATTCCATTCCGTGCTGTTGGTGATGCATGTCAGAAACGTTGTTGGTTCTACCGAATGGCGTTACATATCTAGTGAAATAAGTTAAATTATGTTTCAAAACTGATAGAAACTGATCGATGTTGATTAAAAGGATTGCGCACATGTTCTCAGCGGGTGTTATCTGTTAAATTATAGCTCAAAGTGGTTGTGAGAACTAAAAGACCGGCCTAACGAATGTTCCGCTTAGTATAAAAATGTTAATTCGATGGCTTTTAGCCTTGACATGTGTATGCAAATGCACATCTTTTGAGATAATTGTCTCTCGTAGAGGAAAATTGATATTAATGACAGAGACACTTGTGTGTGTGTCTTGGTCTGCGGCAGCACACATCAATATATCATATATTCACGTATATTGGGGCGTGCACACACGCACACATATATACACATATACACACACGCACACATATATACACATATACACACACGCATATATATAAGTCTATATATATATATATATATATATATATATATATATATATATATATATATATATATATATATATATATATATATATATATATATGCACACACACACACACTTATATAATTATATGTGTGTGTGTGCTTTTGTTTAATATATCTCCACCTTTATATTTAAAGATGTTATTTCCTTTCTAAGTAGGAGCATAAAAACCGCCAACCTCAATAAATCATCGCACTACGTCCAGTTCAGCCAATTGAATGCAGGGTATCCTTCAAAAGTTATCTCCAATGAATTATACAGTGGCACCACATTTGGAGAACATGGCACATTTCTTATCTACAAATTTCTATAAGGAATCTCGTACATCTATAAAAGACCTATTAATCAAGAAAAGATATTTCTATTTCTAATTATTTTCATTGTGATGAATAAAGAGATTAATGTGAACTTAAACATACAAACCGCACACACACACACACAAACACGCACACAGACATACACACACACACACACACACACATGCATTCACATACATGCTTAATTAATAAATATGAATTATGTTATTTTAAAGATAAATCATTCCCATGTATAACTCTCAAATGAAGAGAGTGCAGTACAGTTAGCGATCGTGGAGATATTTTCCGATGCACCAGCCAGCCAACATTTTTTATGCTTCTGAATGAACGACAAAAAAAAAGGACGGCGAGAAACAAAAAAAATTTCTTATATTTAATTAGACAGAAAAAATTGTTACCAACGGGATATTGGTGCGTGTGCAAGCATATCGTTTCCTGAATTTTCAACCGTATAATACAATTTTTGCTATAAAAAGATATGTTTAATTTATTTTAATACATTTGCAAATTAAAGACTTTCATTTTTTTTATTTATTCCTCACATCAAAGCAAAAATGTTAACGACATAATACTTTACTAACACGATCTACTATAAAATTATAAGAAATTTTTTCAAATTTCAACTGAAATTACACTAACAATTTAACTAACCACCACAAAAGCTCATCATTTAAATACAAAAAACTAACTATAAGTGACTAGAAATGACTAGAACTTTGTTACAAAATGTACAACGACGCTACGAAGGAAGGCGCGAGCCAACCACGCGAAGTTACAAACAACATCACGCCACAAGAACGACAGCTACAAAATTATTACTCAACCAAGCAGAGGAGGATGTATGAGGAATGTTGGAGAGGTGGACACGTGTTGATGTATTAACAAATAAAATATCAAACAAACAACATCCTCGCCTCTACAACATTGTTGCATAGGCGCAGAAAACATCGTCTGAATGGCGAAAGACGTGGAGTGGTCGCTAGGTAGCCCCAACTGGTTAGCCACTTAAATGCTGCGAAAACTCTAATTTTATATTTAGAAGCTCAGTATAATTTTGTGGCCTGTTACGGGAAATCCTAAGAAGTTTCCACTTTGGAAAAATATCATTTTATTTATATTCACTCGAAAGTAATTCATTGCTATTAAATTGATTTTTTTTTATTTGTCTCATTGAGTGAATTAAATTCTCGCTGGTAGCACGTAAAAAACAAATTTTTAATTTTTAACATATCGAACTTTAGCGTAAAATGCAAACTTGAAAAGTTATTTTTATACAATCTTTTTCGTAATCACTTTTATTCCATTTATAAAAAATTATCAAAATACGTTGGTGTGTAGTTTCCAAGATGTCGTGTGAAAACTTAATATTTGTGAAATGATGCAACGAGTGACAAAGGATGAGAGGCTACAACCTACCACGAAGTCCGAACAAACATCTCAATTACATATGTTTGTTTTATCATTCGGGATATCTCTATTTGCCATTTATACCAAAACGAATTATTCATGCTCATCACTTCTCGGCAGGAATATCTCTTCTTCTTCTTGACTCATTTGGTTTCGTTCCTCTGAATTTTAAACAGCTTTAAAATTTCCGAGCAATTACCTCCTCTCCGCGTTTATGCATACGTTGCATCAGTGCATAATAAAATAAATTGACTTTTATTCCTCTATCTGGCAAACATTTCAACTGTTTTAATGCGTGACTCTTCTCGAAGAAAGAAATTATTTTAGAAAAAATTTTTTTTCGAACGAATTCGTCAACATTCAGACAGATTTAAAGTTAGAGCAATCAATGACAATTCAAACTGTACAACAGAAATATTGTTCAAGTGTGAATTAATAAAGAAACCATGTTGAAACCTTTCAAATGAAAATATTGCTGATGATTTTGCTATTGTTGCAAAAAACGAATGAAAAATGTACACGTATTTAATTGTGTGCGTATGTGTATGTATCTGTGTATGTATGTACCTATGTATGTATATGTTTGTGTATAGTATGTACATGTACGTATTCTACTGATAATAAAACAAGTTGCACAAAAAATGCACAAACGCAAACCCTCACAGGCATACATTTAAAACAAACGCTGACTAACAGGCAAACAATTTACGAAGCAATCTGTGCATGTCACTGACACACACTTTTATTACATACATACATGCATACATACATACATGCATGCATACATACATACACACGTGTACATGTACATACACATATACATATACATACGTACGAACATACATACATACATACATACATACATACCTACATACATACATACATACATACATACATACATACATACATACATACATACA